GGCCCTGTCCCCCCACAGAGAAGGCCCTGTCCCCCCCACAGAGAAGGCCCTGTCCCCCCCACAGAGAAGGCCCTGTCCCCCCACAGAGAAGGCCCTGTCCCCCCACAGAGAAGGCCCTGTCCCCCCACAGAGAAGGCCCTGTCCCCCCACAGAGAAGGCCCTCTGTCCCCCCACAGAGAAGGCCCTGTCCCCCCACAGAGAAGGCCCTGTCCCCCCACAGAGAAGGCCCTGTCCCCCCACAGAGAAGGCCCTGTCCCCCCACAGAGAAGGCCCTGTCCCCCCCACAGAGAAGGCCCTGTCCCCCCCACAGAGAAGGCCCTGTCCCCCCACAGAGAAGGCCCTGTCCCCCCACAGAGAAGGCCCTGTCCCCCCACAGAGAAGGCCCTGTCCCCCCACAGAGAAGGCCCTGTCCCCCCACAGAGAAGGCCCTGTCCCCCCACAGAGAAGCCCTGTCCCCCACAGAGAAGGCCCTGTCCCCCCACAGAGAAGGCCCTGTCCCCCCACAGAGAAGGCCCTGTCCCCCCACAGAGAAGGCCCTGTCCCCCCCACAGAGAAGGCCCTGTCCCCCCACAGAGAAGGCCCTGTCCCCCCACAGAGAAGGCCCTGTCCCCCCACAGAGAAGGCCCTGTTGTCCCCCCACAGAGAAGGCCTGTCCCCCCACAGAGAAGGCCCTGTCCCCCCACAGAGAAGGCCCCCCTGTCCCCCCACAGAGAAGGCCCTGTCCCCCCACAGAGAAGGCCCTGTCCCCCCACAGAGAAGGCCCTGACCCCCCACAGAGAAGGCCCTGACCCCCCACAGAGAAGGCCCTGTCCCCCCACAGAGAAGGCCCTGTCCCCCCACAGAGAAGGCCCTGTCCCCCCACAGAGAAGGCCCTGTCCCCCCACAGAGAAGGCCCTGTCCCCCCACAGAGAAGGCCCTGTCCCCCCACAGAGAAGGCCCTGTCCCCCCACAGAGAAGGCCCTGTCCCCCCACAGAGAAGGCCCTGTCCCCCCACAGAGAAGGCCCTGTCCCCCCCACAGAGAAGGCCCTGTCCCCCACAGAGAAGGCCTTGTCCCCCCACAGAGAAGGCCCTGTCCCCCACAAGAAGGCCTTGTCCCCCCACAGAGAAGGCCCTGTCCCCCCACAGAGAAGGCCCTGTCCCCCCACAGAGAAGGCCCTGTCCCCCCACAGAGAAGGCCCTGTCCCCCCACAGAGAAGGCCCTGTCCCCCCACAGAGAAGGCCCTGTCCCCCCACAGAGAAGGCCCTGTCCCCCCACAGAGAAGGCCCTGTCCCCCCACAGAGAAGGCCCTGTCCCCCCACAGAGAAGGCCCTGTCCCCCCACAGAGAAGGCCCTGTCCCCCCACAGAGAAGGCCCTGTCCCCCCACAGAGAAGGCCCTGTCCCCCCACAGAGAAGGCCCTGTCCCCCCACAGAGAAGGCCCTGTCCCCCCACAGAGAAGGCCTTGTCCCCCCACAGAGAAGGCCCTGTCCCCCCACAGAGAAGGCCCTGTCCCCCCACAGAGAAGGCCCTGTCCCCCCACAGAGAAGGCCCTGTCCCCCCACAGAGAAGGCCCTGTCCCCCCACAGAGAAGGCCCTGTCCCCCCACAGAGAAGGCCCTGTCCCCCCACAGAGAAGGCCCTGTCCCCCCACAGAGAAGGCCCTGTCCCCCCACAGAGAAGGCCCTGTCCCCCCACAGAGAAGGCCCTGTCCCCCCACAGAGAAGGCCCTGTCCCCCCACAGAGAAGGCCCTGTCCCCCCACAGAGAAGGCCCTGTCCCCCCACAGAGAAGGCCCTGTTCCCCCACAGAGAAGGCCCTGTCCCCCCCACAGAGAAGGCCCTGTCCCCCCACAGAGAAGGCCCTGTCCCCCCACAGAGAAGGCCCTGTCCCCCCACAGAGAAGGCCCTGTCCCCCCACAGAGAAGGCCCTGTCCCCCCACAGAGAAGGCCCTGTCCCCCCACAGAGAAGGCCCTGTCCCCCCACAGAGAAGGCCCTGTCCCCCCACAGAGAAGGCCCTGTCCCCCCACAGAGAAGGCCCTGTCCCCCCACAGAGAAGGCCCTGTCCCCCCACAGAGAAGGCCCTGTCCCCCCACAGAGAAGGCCCTGTCCCCCCACAGAGAAGGCCCTGTCCCCCCACAGAGAAGGCCTGTCCCCCACAGAGAAGGCCTGTCCCCCCACAGAGAAGGCCCTGTCCCCCCCACAGAGAAGGCCCTGTCCCCCCACAGAGAAGGCCCTGTCCCCCCACAGAGAAGGCCCTGTCCCCCCACAGAGAAGGCCCTGTCCCCCCACAGAGAAGGCCCTGTCCCCCCACAGAGAAGGCCCTGTCCCCCCACAGAGAAGGCCCTGTCCCCCCACAGAGAAGGCCCTGTCCCCCCCACAGAGAAGGCCCTGTCCCCCCACAGAGAAGGCCCTGTCCCCCCACAGAGAAGGCCCTGTCCCCCCACAGAGAAGGCCCTGTCCCCCCACAGAGAAGGCCCTGTCCCCCCACAGAGAAGGCCCTGTCCCCCCACAGAGAAGGCCCTGTCCCCACAAGAAGGCCCCCCCACAGAGAAGAAGCCCTGTCCCCCCACAGAGAAGGCCCTGTCCCCCCCACAGAGAAGGCCCTGTCCCCCCACAGAGAAGGCCCTGTCCCCCCCACAGAGAAGGCCCTGTCCCCCCACAGAGAAGGCCCTGTCCCC